AGGTTGTGTTCGTGACGCTGCCTCCTGCCGTCAGTCATGTGTTGTATTTATTGAGCTTTATTTATGCAGCGCTCCTCCTGAAGAGTCTGCCGCTTCATGCCTGAGCTCTGCTTTCACTCAGCAGTTTCTGACATGATATGGAGATCATCAAACACATCCTCATGGAGAGATCAGACCCCCGCACACACTTGTGTAGGGTTTTTACTGTAAGCGTTGTTTGTTTGTTGAATAAATCTGGTTTCCATATGTGGCGTTTGTGCTGCGCTCTTCATCTTGATCATGCATATTTGATATTTATTTAGGAGCATCTCTAAACTTACACACCACATTAAAGTAATGAGTTATACTGTTTTATCTTGTATGCTTTTATTTGCACAATATTTATTGTTATTTTGCTGTTTTAAACATACTTTATTAATGAGGAACAAAAACTTTTCTTCAATTCTCACCAAATCAGCTGTGAAGTGTTGATGTAGGTGGAACAATAATGCACACCGTTTACATTACTGACTTTATTAAATTAAATTAAATTAAATGATCTCAAAGCAATTCAGACAAGATTTACAGATTAATACAAAAGCATGTGTGTGCATTATAGTTCATGTCTACATGAAAACTCTCTGGTGAGGAAAAGTGTTGTAACTTTAGAGATGCTCCCTAAATTTGAATGTTAACTTTTCTGACTGATTTGATGATGAATGTACTGTAGATTCAGGCTTTGCGTTAGTTTAATCGATATCAAGCATTTTTTTTTTTTTGATTAACATTACACTTCATTACTAAAGCAAAACTCCACTATAGATACAGTCAGTGTGTTTCCTATAATTGATTACTGTAAACTCTCCTGATGATGGCTATATGGGATGTTCTCGTCTGCACTGTGCTCTATATCCTGCAGATCAGCATTGCTCATTTGTGCTGATATAGTGCTTTAAGACGGACACAACTTCCTGAAATTCTGATGGAGAATATTGTTATGAGTGGGTTTATTAGAGTCCTGATCTGCACATTTAAAGTGTAAGGTGTTGCTTCTGTCCATCTCTGTCAGAAAGCTGCGAGTGCAGTAATCGGCGGAGTGATCGCTTGTGTGCTTCGGCTCCTCCGCGCGGAGGAGTCTCAGTGAAAGTCAATCACAGCTGTTCATCATTACTTCACAATCAAACAGCTTCTGTGTGCTGGAGATTCACCCAGATATGGAATAAACCTGGAAATGTCATCTAAACAGGTGAGTAACATGTCTGCTGGTTTTGTTCTGAACAACGGATAAAACAATATGCTATATATTTATTATTACCAACGGTCTAAATCTGTCCAACCATCGCATATCAGTCCGCGGAGATTATCGTTAATCTTACTTTACATTTCAGTTTGTCTACACGCTCTAATTAACATATTTCATATAATGTTTTCAGAAAAGTGTAATTATGACAGTGAGAATAGATTATTAATGACCATTACAGGCGGATTCACGTGTGTACAGACGTGACGTAATGACGCAAAGACGAACGGCGGCCCGCCCATTTTCCCATTAACCCAGTAGCTCTGTTTATAAAGCTGTATCACATTTATAAAGCTGTATCACAGACTTCACTGTTGTAAACTGGGTTAAAGTTAAGAGTATCCTTTATAAGATTGACTTGTTATAAAAAATAAACTTAAACAACAAAAGTAATGTAGATTTTGAAACAATTGTGTGACTTTTCAATGTTAGACCTTCATTATAGTTTAATTTAATTATTGTTTCTCTGCGCATTATGTTTAGTATACTACCTAGTGAAGCAAGAGTCAGTCAGGAGTATAATATTCAGATTGATCGATTATGTGGCGGAGTATTTCTGCTATATTATACACACTCTTCAGCACAGTGTTTGGTCATGAACTGTGTTGGCATTTCTGGATTATGGGGATTTAATGTACAGATCAGCTTTAACTCTCCTCCACACGCTGGATGTTGTTCAGCATGCAGCCGTTGGTTTTGTTGCCGGTGCTTCATTTAATTCTGTCAGCTGTGCTGTGCTGTGCTGTGTTCTGTACTGAATGGGTCTCCTCTTCACTGCTTTCTGTTCACTTATTAAACTCTTATTGGGAAAACTCCACTATATCCACTTCCTAACATGTTGCATGTTGAAATGTGCGCTCTAGTAGTTTCATTAACCTTTGCATATTCCCAAAGTTGGCTGTTCATGCGGTCGCTCCTCTTTTCAGTGTTGTGCTGCTGGTGACTGGAATCATCTACAGCAGACCCTAAAGCTCAGCACTCACTCCACTGCTGTCTTTAAAGAGTTCAGTGCAGTCAATAGTGCTGACCCCTGTGCTTGTGTTCAGTTTTCCTCTGGGTTTATATGTTATTATCTGCATTTGTGAAATTGTTATTGTGTTATTGTGTCCTGCTGCATTGTATCTGCGGTTTATGTTGCCTCTTGTCCAGGCCATCATTATACATCAGAACTGCTTCTCAATTGACTCACCTGCGTAAATAAAGCTTATTAGTGACTGATAGTGAAGGTCTCTGTGATATTGTAGCAGCCCACATCAAAAATACTACAGTGATTTACACATAATACTGCTAGTGTAGTGTTCATGAACAATACTGTAGTGAAGAACCTGAAGGAAACAGCTGTGGTGATTCTGCAGTCGCTATGGTAACACAACAACTACCATAATTGGTCTGTTGTGGTGAATCTGCAGTTGCTATGGTAACACAACTATAGTAATTGATCTGTTGTGTTGATTCTGCAGTTGCTATGGTAACAAAACTATAGTAATTGATCTGTTGTGGTGATTCTACAGTTGCTATGGTAACAAAACTATTGTAATTGATCTGTTGTGTTGATTCTGCAGTTGCTATGTTAATAAAACTATTGTACTTAATCTGTTGTGGTGCTTCTACAGTTGCTATGGTAACACAATTATAGAAACTGATCTGTTGTGGTGATTCTACAGTTGCTATGGTAACACAACTATTGTAATTGATCTGTTGTGGTGCTTCTACAGTTGCTATGGTAACACAACTATTGTAATTGATCTGTTGTGGTGATTCTGCAGTTGCTATGGTAACACAATTGCAGTAATGTAAACGAATGACCCAGTGTGGTAGTTTTCTACACTATAGGTTATATTATACTGCAATACAGCACAGTTTACAGCAGTTAACACTAGAGTACACTACCGTGTTCATTGGTTGATCAGTCGACTGTACAGTGTGCTCCATCATGCATTTACCACGTGTTGTAGATACTATAATACAGTATAATAGTATGGTTCAAGAACACTATATTTACTGTATTTAATATTTAATTACTCTTCATAGTAATTACAATTGTGTGTGTGTGTGTGTGTGTGAGTTTTGCCTCTCCTCCTCAATGTTCTTCTGCTGGTGAAGCCACAACACACAGCAGTGCTGGAGCGAGAGGATTAATTACAGCACACACACTTCCTGCCACCGCTCTAGAAAGCAGATCGTTAAACACGACGCAGTGGCGTTCCTGGCTGAGCGACTCATTACGGCCTGCAGTTTGAGTCCTGCTGCTGTAATTATCTGAGATACAGCGCTGATGTCTGGCCTCAGAGAGCGTATCATTACCTTCATAATCTGTTCTTTAAACGTGTACAGCAGCTGCCCATAACACACACACACACACACACACACACACACGGGTCAGCCGGTGATATCTACATCTGTGCTTGCAGGATTTAAACAGCACTTATTTAACCTGTGCTGATCTAGTGGTGTGGTCAGCACTGTGGCCTCACAGCAAGAAGGTCTCTGGTTTGAGTCTCGGCTGGGTCAGTTGGTGTTTCTGTGTGGAGTTTGCATGTTCTCCCCGTGTTGGTGTAGGTTTCCTCCGGGAGCTCCGGTTTCCCCCACAGTCCGAACACATGCGCTATAGGGGAACTGATCAACTACACTGGCCGTAGTGTAAGAGTGTGTGTGTGTGTGTGTGTGTGTGTGTGTGTGTGTGTGTGTGAATGAGTGTGTATGGGTGTTTCCCAGTATTGGGTTGCAGTATCGCTAGCCTCAATTTGACTGTGGATACACTATACTACACACACTTCTGTCCTAACAGCTTGTCATAGTTGATGTGGTGTGATAAGTGGCTTTATTATATAGCAGTGCTGTATTTGCCTCTCTGTATCTGTGTGTATGGCTGTGTGTTGGGGACGGAGGGGTCAGAGGTCAGCTGTGCCCTGTGCTGTGGATCATAAATGGACATGTGTTCTGCTGATGGCCCGAGGAGCGGGGGTCAGAGGACACGCATCAATCACACACACACACATGATATTATATATATATGCAGATCTGTGTGTGTGTGTGTGTGTGTGTGTGTGTGTGTGTGTGTGTGTGTGTGTGTGTGTGTGTGTGTGTGTGTGTGTGTGTGTGTGTGTGTGTGTGTGTGTGTGTGTGTGTGTGTGTGTGTGTGTGTGTGTGTGTGTGTGTGTGTGTGTGTGTGCGCGCTTCTGTCTCTGAGTATAACTGCTCTGAGCCTTAAAGAGACAGTTCACCCTTAACCTGCACAGATATCGCTGAGGGAAGTGGAGTGTGTTGTGGATATTCTCCACTGTGCTGTGTGTTCTCCTCTAATAACTGAGCTGGGTTAATATATATCACCTGAGCAATACAAATGCTTAATGAAAAGTAAAATTACAAAAGTAATACAAAAATGAATCCCGCTATACTTGAAATGCTATATTCAGATATAATGCAGATACAGTAAGCCAGTAAATCTATTGATTATCCTCATGTTACTCTTGTTCCTACTGAAGTGAAATGATTTTGAAGTTGTTCTACATTGTACAGACACCAGCTGATATTATTAAAGCACACGTACAGTAGGTGACACTGTAATATGAGCATTGTCTTGTACCGCCGCCGCTCCACAGTAGTAAGAACATGTTTTTTACTCTCTCAGAAATAAAGCTGTCACTGCGGCAGTACCTTTTCAAAATGTGTGCCTAAAGAGTCCTTAGTGGTTCCTCAAAGGTCCATATCAGTACCCAAATGCACCTAAAATGTACCTTTGAGGAACCACTAAGGGCTCTTTAGGTACAAATGTGCACCTTTTGGAAAGGTACTGCCCCAGTGACGGATCTTGCAGCTTTATTTCTGGGAGTGTGGGTATGACCGCAGTTTGCGATAATACTGCCAGGGCACACAAAGGGTCGTGCATGCGAACAGACTGAAAAGCCTATACAGTAGCTGTAAATACTCTGTACTTGTAAATAAAGATAAACAATAAAGCAAAGCATTATAATTCCTTCATTAATAATTAAAAACTTCTTACGTGTGAAGTGCAATGAGGATTTATTTTGGACAGTAGAATTAAACAAATAAAAGACAACTAAAATGAAAGTACAAACACAAATAAGTAGGCCTAAATAAATAAATAAAGCAGTGTTTTAGTCTAAATATAGACAGTGTTATTTTGAAGTGTTAGGACTGAGACAGTCAATAAATTAGCTTTTTCATTCATAGTTTTAAATCTTATTTTATGTCTCAATTACTGTACATAAATAATAAATGAATAATCAAATAGGCCTAATTATTTATTTAAAGACATTACCTGTGAAACACTGACAATCGGTCCGACACTGTTTATTTATAGACATATTATCAGTTTAAAGAAAGCTGCAGAGTGGGCTGTATTATGTTAGTTCTAGCCTATATTATTCTAATGAATTTCCTCTGCATCTGTCACTTGTATGAGTTAATAACCACAGCAGATATGTGCGTCTGGCTGAAACATTATCTGTTAATAAATAGCGTCTTATGAAAAATGGCTCTCCCCTACTGTATTATAGACGAGAGGAGGGTTAATAATGTGCTGGTGTTATTATAATGTTCATTCTTTTAACTCTTGTGTGCTGTTGGGTCGTTTTTAATCACTCTGAGCTGATTTTGAGGCTTCAGTGGCCTCCGCTTTCTCTGTGTTTCAGCAAATGTGATGATTTCTGCTGATTTTGACAGATATTGTAGGAAAATGCTTTGAAAATGATCAAAAACTCAACAGACTCTGTTCAGATTGACTCCTCTTTGGTGATGTTGGTGCTGTTTTTGCCCCATCGACTTTTATTATAATCTTATTTACTGACTGCAAAGCCATGACAGCATATAGTCATGCATTACTGAGTGTTGCTGGCCTTCCCTGTTGGATTAAGGGCACAACTTGTCGTTTTTACTGTTGATAATCAGTTGCAGTGCTAAAAAAGCCTAGTTTCTGCCTTCTATATGGAGTATAGTGTGTGTGACACCTTTACACTCTTACTTAGATATGTGTGAGAAACTCAAAATAAGCTCCTGAGCTCTCAGAACACAGTAAACACAGTAAGTGTATTTCTGCAATCTGCTGTTTGACTCCGCTGAACTCCATATTAAAGCCAGAAACTCTTCACCACAGGCCGATCTAATGCTGCACACTGATGACCAACAGGAGAAATCACACATTACCTCCTAATCCCTACAAGAGGACACTCAGTAATGCACGAGTATCTGCTGTCATGGCTTTGCAATCAGTAAATGTGATTATCCTGGAAGTCAACGGAGTAAAGACAACACCAACATCACCAAAGAGGAGTCAGTGTGAACAGTACTGAAGGGTTAATAATCCAGTGTGTGATCAAGTGTTGTTTGTAACTGCGTTATGAATGCTGCTGGAGAGCCCGGCCCCTCTCTCCTCCCCTCGGCCACATAACGGTATAAGAGCCGCTGCCCGGAGCTCCGCGCTCCACCCCCTCCTCCCACCCCCGCCGCTACCCGCGCTGAGCGCCTCCTGAGCGGCCTGAGAGAGACTCCGCGCCGCTGCGCCTTCATGGAGCTCCAGCCCCGACTGCGCCTCAGGACCGCTGTAAGATGAGCGGGTGTCTCCAGATCCTCACCGTGCTGCTCTGCTGCCGCTTCTGGGCGCTCGTGTTCTCTCAGGGTGAGTCTGTTCACTTCACGGAGCGCAGTCTGCGTGCGTGTTACTGTAGTGAAGGCGAGTTCAGCGGGGAGAGATGGAGAAGCGCCGCCGCCGCCGAGAATATCCGCCATCCGGAAGTTTGGACTTGTTGATTCCGCGCCGCTTTTCTCAATCCTACTTTAAAGCTGCATCAGACACATCAGGTTATTACGCGGAGTACAGTTTGCTGATGAAATATGAGCGCGAATGCGTGTATGATGATGATGATGATGTTTATGCGCGTGCTCGAGAGCGTACCGTTATGTCTCCAGAAGTTGTCCAGTGCGCATGAACTCGTCCTCCATGCTGGAACACACACATTACAGGGGAATAACAGCAGGCTTCTCCTGCTCACAGTCATAATCATAAGTGTGTGATGCTGGGAATGGGCGTCTCTGTTCCTTTATATCCTCTGAGGGCTACTATTAGTGTAACGCGCTATGATAATTATAATAACTCACATTAATAACTGATAAACACTCATTAGGGCTGTGCGATCACACACACACACACACACACACACACACACTCCTCGAGGAGTCTGGAGGAAGGTTACTCATTCTCTCCAATAATGCTGTAAAGCTGAGAATAATGAGGGTCAATAGTTTTGAATAGTTGATTAAAGTCGACAGTACGGTGATCTGTGTCTTATGTGGGCTACTGTACGTCTATTAAACCTTCAAAACATTCAATAAAGTGGATTTAATAATAGCTAAAGCCTCTATATATTGTTCTTCAGTGGACAGAGTTCTGATTATAGCACTATTGATGTACAGACACTACAGAATTCCCAATAATCCAACATTTATGAACATTTCCCAAGTGCTGTCCTAAAAACAGAGACTCTTACTCGCATTACTAAACATGATAGATTTAATAACTACTTTCATTTAGTCTAGCTATTGCACAGGATACGAGTATAAGTGACGGATAAAGGCTTAATCAGGTTAATATCAGGTGATTGGGCAGGACACTGTAGGATTGTGTTTGTTCTGTGGATAACTGAAGCAGAGTATTGCTGAGGGAGGTTAATATCAAGTTTATCTTGTATAGTAGTTATTTAGTTTAAGGAGATATTTATAAAGATGTAAAGGCTGCTTCACTCCAGCCACACTTACACAATAAAGCTTAATTAAAGCAGAATATAACATTACATAAGCTGAAATCTGCCCGAAACACCCGGAGATATTCAGAAAACAGCCAGCTGAATAATAGTGTGTGTGTGTGTGTGTGTGTGTGTGTGTGTGTGTGTGTGTGTGTGTGTGTGTGTGTGTGTGTGTGTGACGGACAGCCTCACACTGAGCTGAAATGTCCTCTGCTGTTATTTCTGCAGGGTGATGGAGGTGTGAGAGCGCTGGAGACATTTGCTTCTCTGCGCAGCATTTGCTGTGTGTGTTTGCAGCGCTGTGAGAATCAGCAGGGTTAGGAGTGTTTAGAGTGTGTTTGGCCTGTGTTTGATCCTCTGTCCTTCTTTACTCCAGTGCAGTGAGATCGTGTGTGTGTGTGTGTGTGTGTGTGTGTGTGTGTGTGTGTGTGTGTGTTTATTGGAGAAACTTAAAAATATTCAAAAGTCTGAGTTCCTCTTTCATGTTCTATCAGCGCCGACGTCAGGCCCACATCTGGATGCCACACCGCTTTGAAGTGTGTGTGAGTGTTGTGTAGTTGCAGTAGTTGTGTGTGTGTGTGTGTGTGTGTGTGAGAGAGAGAGAGAGAGAGAGAGAGAGAGATCAATTGTATGTGTGTGTAGTATAGTGTAGTGTAGTATGTGTGTGTTAGCGAGTGTGTTTGTGTGTGTGAGAGTGTAGTATAGTGTTTTGCGTGAGCGTATGTGTAGTGTGAGGGTGTGTGTGTGTGTGTGTGTGTGTGACTCGTAAGGCATTTGCCAATGTCAGGTTGGTGTTAGTTGTGTCTAGATAGTCTCTGTGAGCGGGTGTTTACTAGTGTTCAGTTGTGTGTGTGTTTCCTTCAGAACCCAGCGTGCAGACACACACACACACACACACACACACACACACACACACACACACAAACTCCTGTTTGAAGATTTTCTCCTCCACTCAAACATCTGCAACCAATTAGGTCTCCTCCAGGCCTGAGCAGAAACCAGAGAAACACACACACACACACACACACACACACACACACACACACACACACTGCTGTGGAGGATTGAGCGTGGTGCTCCTCTGTATTCTGAACTGTAATTCCGTGTTTCAGCTCAATCTCAGGTCAGCTCCAGACTAACACTCGCGCGGGGTTAACATGTTGATCTGGACAGTTAACCCAGTGGTTGGGTTTGACCCAGTGTGTATAATAATGACATCAGCCTCCTCTGGAGTGTCTGTGTAGTTTTGTTTGTTTGTTGGTTGGTTGGTTCGATTGTTGATTTAATTTTTGTTTGTTTGTTTGTGTGTTTGTTTCTTTGTTTGTTGGTTGGTTGTTTATTGGTTTGTTTTTGCTTGTTGGTTTGTTGGTTTTTGCTTTTTTGTTGGTTTTTTTGTTTGTTGATTTGTTTTTATTACTTTGTTTTGTTGGTTTGTTTTTGTTTGTTTGTTTGTTTGTTTTTATTGGTGTGTTTTGTTTGTTTTTGATGGTTTGTTTTTGCTTGTTTGTTGGTTTGTTTTTGCTTGTATGTTGGTTTTTGTTTGTTTGTTTGTTTTTATTGGTGTGTTTTGTTTGTTTTTGTTGGTTTGTTTTTGCTTGTTTGTTTTTGTTTGTTTGTTGGTTTTTGTTTGTTGGTTTGTTTTTATTGGTGTGTTGTTTGTTTTTGTTGGTTTGTTTTTGGTTGTTTGATGGTTTGTTTTTTGTTTGTTTGTTTGTTTTAGTTTGTTTGTTGGTTTGTTTTTGTTTGTTGTTTTTTTTGTTTGTTTGTTGGTTTGTTTTTATTGGTGTGTTTTGTTTGTTTTTGTTGGTTTGTTTTTGCTTGTTTGATGGTTTGTTTTTGCTTGTTTGTTGGTTTTTGTTTGTTTGTTTGTTTTTATTGGTGTGTTTTGTTTGGTTTTGTTGGTTTGTTTTATCTGTTTGTTGGTTTTTGCTTGTTTGTTGGTTTGTTTTTTGTTTGTTTGTTTGTTTGTTTGTTTGTTTGTTTTTGCTTGTTTGTTGGTTTGTTTTTGTTTGTTGGTTGGTTTTTGTTTGTTTGTTTGTTTTTATTGGTGTGTTTTGTTTGTTTTTGTTGGTTTGTTTTTGCTTGTTTGATGGTTTGTTTTTGCTTGTTTGTTGTTTGTTTGTTTGTTTGTTTGTTTGTTTGTTTGTTTGTTTTTATTGGTGTGTTTTGTTTGGTTTTGTTGGTTTGTTTTATTTGTTTGTTGGTTTTTTGTTTGTTTGTTTGTTTGTTGGTTGGTTTGTTTGTTTGTTTTTATTGGTGTGTTTTGTTTGTTTTTGTTGGTTTGTTTTTATTTGTTTGTTTATTTGTTGGGTTGTTTGTTTGTTTATATGGCATTACATGCAGAGAATTTGAATTCTTTGGTCAAATGTTTTCAGCAATAGTAAAACCTTGAACAGTTGTGTACTAGTGACGAGACAATATACAGTCTGTAGAAAAAGAAAAAATATATGTATATCTATACTTTTGTATATAATCTCCCCACATTTCACAAAAACAAACCTGTGTGTGTGTGTGTGTATGTGTGTGTTCAGTTCAGAGCCGGTTCTGTCCTCTGTCTCCGCTGTGAATGGCTCTCTCTGTGTTTGATGTGTATTTTGGGTTCTAGCAGATCAAGGCCTCATGTCACATGTGTTTGCATGTGTGTTTGCGTGTGTGTGTGTGCGTGTGTGTGTGTGTGAGCGTGCACGCTGGACACATGTGCAGCTCATGTTGTCCTCCATATGGCTGTTTCATGTTTTGCTGAACTTCAGCCGATGTTCAGATGAGCAGGAGTGTAGAGCTGTGTGTGTGTGCGTGCATGTGTGTGTGTGCGTGCGTGTGTGTGTGTGTGCGTGCGTGCGTGCGGCCTGCCGTGTTCACTGTTCCGGACAGCTCACTGTTTCCTAAAGTCAGATATAGTGTGCTCAGTGAGGGACAGTGGCTGATTTAACCCAGAGGTTTTAGAGCAGTGATCCTAGCAGCAGGATGCAGTGATGTCTTCTCCAAGGTTCTCAGAGCATCAGTGCAGTACAGCAGTGAGGGAGATCTTCATATCAGCTGAAGCTCTGAGTGTTTGGCATCTTCTCCAGCTCTGTGTTTGAGTCTGGGGTTATTAATGCACAGGAAATGACCTTTGACCCTGCGCTATTCAGATGGCGACAGAGAGGAATGCAGGAACACCAGAGTCACACATTCATCCTGTGTGTGCGTGTGTGTGTGTGTGTGTGTGTGTGTGTGTGTGTGTGTGCGTGTGTGTGTGTGTGTGTGTGTGTATGTGTGTGACTAATAATATCTTATTTAATTATTTTGTATGCAGTAAACAAACTACAACAAACTCTCCAGTATATGACATTACACTGTGGTGTGTGGACAGACATTAGTATGACGATTATTATTAGCATTTCTCAAGTAAGATCTTCTCTCAGATATCAGATATAACCTGAGTGAGAATACCTTACGGATGAAAACATGAATATAGAAACACTTTAAGGAAAGATACAACAGGGTTTCCTTCAATAATACAGAATATAAACAATAACATTCACTCACTCTCCTTCAGCTGAGTCCCTTTATTCATCAGGGTCACCACAGCGGAATGAACCATCAACTATTCCAGCTTATGTTTTACTCAACGGATGCCCTGCCAGCCACAACCCAGTACTGGGAAACACCCATACACACATACTCATACACTACGGCCAGTGTAGTTGATCAGTTCCCCTATAGCGCATGTGTTTGGACTGTGGGGGAAACCGATGGACGGACAGAAGGAGAGAGGTGTGAATATACAGTAACTGCAGGATGGGTCAGTGGCGTGTGTTTGAGCTCAGCTGTTTGGCCGTGAAGTGCTCTGAATAATGCACACACTGCTGCAGACGGTTCCTCACACACAGTTTAC